GGGGGACTATGGCTCTGCACCATGGCAGCTATGCCATGGAGTACCGCAGGGGTCCATTTTGTCCCCTTTGCTGTTCAACATCTACATGAAACCGCTGGGAGAGGTCATCAGGAGGTGTGGGCTGTGGAATCATCAGTACGCTGATGATACCCAGCTCTACCTCTCATTTTCCATCAATCCAGGTGAGGCAGTGGCTGTACTGAACCAGTGCCTGGCCGAGGTAATGGGCTGGATGAGGGCCAATAAACTGAAGCTCAATCCAGACAAGATGGAGGTCCTGTTGGTTGGTGGATCGGGCTTCGGAGAGGGTGAACTGAACCTAGTCCTGAATGGGGTTGCACTCCCTCTTAGGGACAAGGTCCACAACTTGGGAGTGCTCCTTGACCCAGAGCTTTCACTGGAAGCTCAGGTGACAGCAGTGGCGAGGAGCACTTTACTTCAGCTTCAGCTGATTCATCAGCTACGCCCCTACCTGGAGTACGACTGCCTGGCAACAGTGACACACGTGCTGGTGACTTCCCGCCTTGACTTCTGTAACACGCTCTACATGGGGCTACCCTTGAAGACGGTCCGGATACTTCAATTGGTTCAAAATAGAGCTGCCAGGCTGCTGATGGGGACTGGGCGTTATGTTCCCATGACTCCAGTCCTCCGTCAGCTTCACTGGCTTCCCATTGAAGTCCGGGCCCAATTCAAGGTGTTGGTGATGACCTATAAAGCCCTAAACGGCTTGGGTCCTGGTTACCTGAAGGAGCGCTTACATCCATATATGCCTGCCCGCCCCTTGAGATCTGCGGGAGAGGCCCTTCTCCGGGAACCCTCCGTGAAAGAAATTAGGAGGGTGGGTACTCGGAGGAGGGCTTTCTCTGTGGTGGCACCTAATCTATGGAATGCGCTCCCCAGAGAGGTCCGCCTGGCGCCGTCGTTATTTGTTTTTCGGCGCCAGGCGAAGACCTTTTTATTTAAGTGTCATTTTAATTGTTAATATTATTTGATTTTATCTGGCCAGGGCGACTTATTTTATATTGTTATTTTTTGTACTTTAACTTAATGTTTGTATTTTACAAACATTTTAACTTAATGTTATGTTAAGTTAATGTTTTAACTTAATGTTTGTATTTTAACTTAATGTTGTGAGCCGCTCCGAGGCTTCGGCGAATGAGGCGGCATAGAAATGTTTTAATAAATAAATGAATAAATGATGATGGTACATTTAGTAAGCTCAGAAAGCAGCAACATAAATAGCAGATGACATTTGTTTATGGGTTTCATTTTGTTTGGGCTTGCCTTAATTCATGAGTTTGCCCAATGGTTGTCTAGAGAACCTTTATTTGCTGGGTTCTTCCCCCTACTCCAGCAAGGGCCTGACATACAAAGTGATAGTAAAAGCAGAAATCTATAGAAAAAAGTATAAGCAGTATATATAATAGACATGAAAGCTGCTCAGTACATAGGAAGTGATTGATAGTGGCTTCATCCATTTATTCAGGACCTTGCCAGATTGCAAGCATGAAATAATCTTCCTATACATGTGGCTGTGACTGAACAAGGGACTGGACCATATCTTGTCTT